CATTTTCGTACGGCTAATACGATCGTTTAGCCGCGTGGGCTTCGATAATACGTTCGCGAAAACGTTTGAAAACCTCGCGTGGTTAAAATTTTTTTCGCCAAGAGACTCTAAGACCGCGCGACGCTGGTCTATCGAGGCATCGCCACACTTGTGGTATGCACCTTCTCTTTACGGAGAGGAGAATTTCATCCTTTCTAGGCTGCGCTCAGTTATGCTAATGAACCAGTGTGAATAACGACGCGAGCCTGGCGCTGGAAGCGGCCTCGTCGAAGCCGCTATACGCAATAAATAAAAGAAGAGAAACGGCACAAGTTTGATGGAGCAAAGAAAGCGACACCTGCACTCCGCCACGGTGGTCTAATGACTAAGACCCTCGACTGCTGACCCGCAGGTAGCGGGATCGAATCCCGACTGCGGCGGCTGCATTTTCGGTGGAGGTGGAACTGATGCAGGCGCGTGCGCTCATATATGTGTGCACGTTGAAGAAACACAGGTGGTCGAAATTTGCGTAGCCTTCCACAAAGGCGTCTTTGAAAATGATATGGTGGTTTTGAGACGTTAAACCACAGATATTAAACTAAAGAAAGCGACACCCAGTTTTCGTTATGGCTACGATCGCGCAGTAATCACATCAAAGAAAGTCGGGAGCCACAGATTCGACAGGATGCGTATGCACACGGCAACAGGCTTCTCGCAGCTAGATGATGCGTCGATGTCTTCGGCCGTAAAATTTGGCGGTTATGCGATCCTGTGGTCTGCGCACTTTTGCTCACGCCTGTCAATACATACTTTAAGAACACAGATTAGGTTCTGGCGAGACGCGCAAAATTATAGCACCGCAAAAATTGACCGGGACTTCCCCAGGAAAATACTATACGCAAAACCGATGGATTAAGCAACGCACCATCACTCCGATTTTTCCTCAGCCAAGTAAACGAAGGCGTTACAAGAAGCCCTGGGTGCTGTTTGCATATAGTGAAATGTTTACCAATTATGAAGGAAAAATGCCTTTTATGAGCGAGGCTCTTTATAGCGGCACCCGTTCGTCCCTCGTAGCCGTTGTAGTGTGTAACAAGTATAACATTTTGACCTTCATGGTGACGCCGGTGAGAGATTTCTTCTGTACGTTGTTGAACAATAAAAAAAATAGTGCTCAATGTACATGCCAATGGCTGCTAATGGGGAATGAGAGACAGGACCATTCGGCTTTTAGTTAACGCGCACGCTGCGATCCCCATTAGCAGCCATTGGCATGTACATTGAGACCTATCTGACAAGAAAGAGTTGCTACGTTATACTCGTTGAGTGTAACCTCCTTAGTTTTAGAAAGGTTTAGCGAGCGTTGAGCCACAGTGCCACGAATACAATGAACTAGTATATACCATGAATGAACTCGAGGTGTTTAAAGGTGGGAAGTAGATACGAAGCGCAAGCCGTGAGAAAGTAAAAGCCAAATTCTCCTGTCTCTCATTTCCCATTAGCAGCCATTGGCATGTACATTGAGCACTATCTGACAGGAAAAAGGTTGCTGCGTTATACTCGCTGGGCGTAACCTCCTTGGTTTTAGAAAGGCTTAGCGAGCGTTGGGTCAAAGTGTCATGAATACAGTGAACTAGTATATACCATGAAATCGAAATGGTTAAAGGTGGGAAGTAGACCCGAAGCGCATGCTGTAACAAAGTGTGCGTGTGCCACCTCTCGTTTAGTCCTTGGAATGTCCGCTGGATGGCGGTGCTTCTATATGGGGAATATATGATGAAAAGATGCGAGATGACGATACTTGGAGTGTTGAATAGATGGACGAACAGACACACAGACAGATGCATGGATGGACGCATGAACGGACGCAAGGGCGGATGCATGGATGAACGCAGGGACGGAAGCATGAACAGACGCACGCACGGACGGGTGGATGGACGGTCACACAGACGGATGCATGGACGGACGGAAGCAAGAACGAATGGACGGACGAATGCTTCGCCCCACTCTCCATCATTCACTCCGTGGATATGCTGCCAATTTTTTTTCTGAGAACGTACCGCCACGCGCTTTTGTCGCTTCAGTGTCATGGCTCACGCTGACAAGTCAGAATCCCACACATTTTCGTTTTACAGTATAAACGGAACACGCGAAAGATGGTGTCACTGAAACTACTTGGGAATATCTAGTACGGACGAACACGTACCTTCGGTTCGCAAAGGGAGCTGATTTCGACGTCGTCATGACGAACGGCACACTCCCAATCCGCTCTTCGGTCGTCCTCAGGAAACGGGAACACTCGCATCTTAGTTGCAGTGTCTTAATGCCCGCGAATATTCGGAGCGCAGCATCGCGCCATCGCGCAGATTTGCCGCCGCACGCTATTAGAATATCCAATGCACAATGCGCATCACATATCCACGCCACATTGGACAGACAGAGAAAAAACACGGTTTTCTCCAGTCGGCAACAAGCACACCACGAAAGCGTTCGTCAGGCTTGGCAATCCTTTTTCGATGCACGGCGTGAAGAAGCGAAGGCACGTCTGTGCAGCGAATTACGACGGTAAAAACGGAGTGACGTCAAAGCCCGCGACGGGCACAGAGAGCCGGCCGGAACTTATCTAGGCGGCATTGGCAGAAACGGCAGTGTTGCACCACGTGGTTTTTGCCCAGATGATTACGCGTCATTGGCGCGCCGCCGGCCCTGCTCGCAGGGTTGCCGCTCGCTTCGCCGGTCGATTGTTAACGCGATAGATGCCGTAAAACAGAAGGATCTGCTATTATCCGCAACGTCTGCGGTAATCATTATGGTCAAACTTAAGTGAAAAGACGCCTTACGTCTTGGCTGCGTTCAGCATCCCAAGAAGCAGGCTCAGCTGGATTCAAGAAAATAATAATAAATGAGAGGCCGACTAGACGCCCAAAGAGTACGTATAGCTGTGCTGAAAGATTTTGAGGCGTTGCTTACATCTTTACCAAGCTTCCTTTGCGTTTAACCAGTCCTACATGTATCCCCGCAGTAAACACCGCCATAATGCAATATTGAAAAAAAAAAAAGAAAACGTCGTGAAGGCGCCGTCTTTGCCCCACCGCGGTGGTCTAGTGGCTAAGGTACTCGGCTGCTGACCCGCAGGTCGCGGGTTCAAATCCCGGCTGCGGCGGCTGCATTTCCGATGGAGGCGGAAATGGTGTAGGCCCGTGTGCTCAGATTTGGGTGCACGTTAAAGAACCCCAGGTGGTTGAAATGTCCGGAGCCCTCCACTACGGCGTCTCTCATAATCATATGGTGGTTTTGGGACGTTAAACCCCACATATCAATCAAGGCGCCGTCTTTACGATATCGTGAAGCAGTGCCGTGAAGCCAAGTTGCACACCTAAATTGGCATCGCTAGTACAATAACTTCATTAAAATTACAACATCGAATTATTCAATATATCAAACTAGTTTCTTCCCGTCCCCATTTATTTTTGTTGTCATTCGTATAGATATGTGGGCTCGACTCTAACACTTTTTTTTCATATACGCTACCAATCTAGTAACGTTGTTCCCAGCTGATGCTCCGGGGAGGTAATGCATTTTCGTACAGCTAATACGATCGTTTAGCCGCGTGGGCTTCGATAATACGTTCGCGAAAACGTTTGAAAACCTCGCGTGGTTAACATTTTTTTTCGCCAAGAGACTCTAAGCCAGCGCGACGCTGGTCTATCGAGGCATCGCCAAACTTGTTGTATGGACCTTTTCTTTACGGAGAGGAGGATTTCATCTTTTCTAGGCTGTTCCACGATATAGTACAAAATCTGCTGTCACAGCCTCGGCAGTGCATTTTTTTAGGAAGGGGGGGGGGGGGCGTCACGCCTGCTAACAACAGTCCAGAAAACACTAAAGCGGTGCCCAAGGAGCCTTGAGTGAAAGATCTATAGTGTGATAACGACTAAGAATAGGGGAGGGGGGAGGTTACACCGGTGATCTTAAGCCAGTACTGACTATGCACTCGAAGCTTTAAACGCGCTTCGTAGCGCTGGCGCAGGGAAAGAATTCGGCTATAAAACAGGTACGAGTTTTCACGATTTCGAAAGAAGTTCCCTGCCGGGACGAAAAAAAAAATAGAAGCTCAGCGTAATATGACAGGTTGTTTTAAAGTTGTCTAATAAAATCAGTTTGAAATGCGAAGCGGCTCTTTGATTCACGTGTATAATACCATACGTACATGCGTCCGTACAAACGCGCCGCAACGTGTTCTGCTCGCCGCAGGTGTTGCAGTGGTGCCAAGTAGGTCACACCGCAGCGGTGCGTTGACGTCAAGTTCCCCTCACACGCTTCCCTTGCAGGTGTGAGCTGACGTCTTTCTCTCACCCGAGGCATGCTTGCCGCAGCGCCCGTAGCTGCCCACTCTTCCGCCCGCTCGTAACACTTCTCTCTCGCTTCACCCTCTCCACCGCCCGCAACGCTCGACCAGACGTCGAGTGGAAACACTCTTTCATCTCGTTTATCTGCGATGAAACTTACGCGAAACCAAACCCGCCTCCCGTATCTTTGCGTGTGAAACAAACCTTTGCTCGAGTTAACGCTACGCCGAGTTACCCTTCAAACCATTCTTCCAGCGCCCGCTTCGACGGCTGTTTCAACCGGGCTTTAAGCGCCTTACACACTGCTGCTGCTTCACATCGCATCAGGGTTCTCTTCGGGGAGATTGTCCAAAATGTTTGTGTCAAGTACTCACTGTGTGTGATCATTTGGACCATTTTTATATTGTGATTTCCGGATGACAAGATTTCATTTTTATCTCCTCGAGAATCACATCAATGGGACTTTATTGTACCCGCCTTGAAGGTGCTCTTTCGCAGTACACAGCAAGTCTATAGAACACAAGTGAAACAAAATGTTCAGCGCAGTTGAGCTTACCCTAGCAATCATGCTTGTGTGACCTGTGCGCAATGCATGTCTGCAAACTCCATGCCAATACTAACTTTTCCTTTGTCTGTCTCTCTCTCCTTTCCCTCTTCTTTGAATTCAAGCAGACGAGGAACTGATGTCGACTGCCGCAGTGCATGAGGAGTACCACACCAACCCCAACATGCCGCAACTGTTCGCGCCCCCTGACGTGGAAGCCCGGCTCCAGAGAACACCCAGGAGGCAATTTATCTTCAGAGGGACTTACCGCAAGGTATACACGCACTGGGCAACACCCTCAACGGCGTCAATTTACTTGCTTGTTTTACAATTGCCGGCACTGAATAAGCTTTGTGGGAGCTGCAAGCACTCGTAGCCCTGAAAGGCGACGGTTCGGCCGGACCTTGCATCACGCAAGAACCGCCGCTCGGTGTGTCCGGTATTGATTATATCAGCACGTGAGTTTTTTGTTGATAGGATTTTGCGATAGAGAGAACGTTTTGCAGGCGTGCCATGATTCGGTTCTGGGGTCTTTATTTGTTTTCTTGTTCTTGCCTTTTTTTTTCTTCGTGTCTTCCACTTGAGAGGATTCTTCAGCCTTGTTTCAATCGCCATTGCCTTGTAGGCAGAAAAATATTTGTTTATTTCTGCAGGCCTTGTTGAAGTAAGCTGTCTAGACATTGGGTTTATAGGCCATTATGGGGCTCGGTATGAAGCTGCGGAGGAAGTACGGCCACCGAAATCCGACGGTCCGGCGGCAGCTGGGCACATCTTAAAAAAGGGGGAAAAAACTAAAAGATCAACATGTTTAAGTGCAAAGTTTGGTGTCTAGATCTGATAAATACGACTCACATGGCAGCCGGCACCTTTCTGCCATCACCAGTGATCGCTGTGTAATAGAGAGGGGACCAAATACATTTGCTAAATTGCGTCTGAAATGCGATCGCCTTCACTGTGTGCAATGGCACCGCCCAGCGCCCTTAGGGTGACGCAAGAAGAACGCGCCAGCGGCCATGTGGCACGTGTATCGCCTTTCACTCGCTGACTAATGCGCATTTTATGTGCGCCTCACCATCGTCGGATCCGATGACCACGTCTTTCACGTAGTATTCTTCCACTCCGAACAACGGTATACATTGTCGACTGCGAGTGGGTGGAGGGCTTTTACGAAATTGTTTGCGTTCTCCCATATATATATATATATATATATATATATATATATATATATATATATATATATATATATATATATATATATATATATATATATATATATATATATATATATATATATATATATATATATACAGAGTATGCGTGCTGCTTTCGATCACTGACGCAACAAAGAAATCCATTACGCACGCTTTCTGCCTCTGGTCTTACTTGACAGCATCTATACGCAGGCCCTCGCTAGTGACCGAGTCTGTCTGCCGTAATTTTCGGAGAACACAATCCTCGATTTAGAAAAGTAACAGTCGTCAAGCCGGAAGTTTGTTCCGGCGTTATTTAAGTTCCTCCGTGAAGAGTGCTATACTTTCTCATTTCTCGCCTCCTGTATAATTTTTTTTTTCGGCACGCTTACTCTTTGTCTTCGATTCAATTTTTTCCTGTCCTCTTTTGCCTTCCCTTGTAATATCGGGTAGTAAACCAGAGGTTTCTCATCTCGTTAACCTTCCTTATTTTTTTTCAATTTCCTTCTCTCTCACCGTCTTATTTCGTAACGAATGATGAATCTGTGACCAAGAGCAAAGCATCCTGTGCTCTGTATCCTCGGGGGCTCCTCATGAACAAGGCTTATACGGCATTGTACATTCCAAGCGTTGCAAATGTCAAACACACAAGACCTACATGAAAATGGATAATAGTACGCACCCAAGATTTAGAAGAATGAACTTTTTCCTTGTTTCACAAGTCCTCATCACTTGAAGACTTGATCTTCCCGCCACCGTATACGTTGTCCTGTCGGACGTTCTTTCATAAGCGTCACATACACACTCAGCCGCTAATACGTAGTTCAATAAACAAAAAAAATTGCGCTTGAACCGGTTATGCATATTAGAAATTAGAACGACGCTTGATCAGTGTAGAACAGCATGTTAAAAATTGCCAATGTGACGCGAGCAGCGATGTACGAAAGTACTACAAGGACATCTAACCAAGTTACAGGAGACGCAGTCAATGATTCATTTTTAAACAGATCTAAATTAACGCAACGCACACAACCTCTAATGCCCTGTAAATAGTGAAAGCGCACACAAATACGTTTGCAAATTCGAAGTGCAACTCTTTTAACTGTCTACTACGATCAGAATCACAACAGGCTGTCGGAGTGTTAGAAAGAAAGTCAGCAAGCGATTGGTAAACAGCAAACGAGTGATAAACAGCAACCGTTAAGCAAGCGAGTGATTAACAGCAACCGTTAATACACTAACGATATCACGCATTGTTGAATCGAAGCGTACGCGTGTGTTTGAAGGCTCCTGCAAAACACGACCCATGAAACGCCATTACCTATCTCAACATGCAACCTTTCAGACGCCACAAAAAATATCAACAATGTCGTAACAGCTTTCAGCAATAGACGTTTTCCGTACCCTCCCCCTTTCAAAAAAAACAAAAAAACGCCGCCAGCTTTGTCTGCGTTTTGACGAAGAAGTAGCAAATACACGGCTTGGAGCTGAGAGCTACGCAATCGCGCATTCTTTTTATTCGCCTTGTCATCATGGCTTCCATCGAGTTCCTTATGCGCCGCAGACAACAGATTGACTTTTTTTTCGTATCTCTACAGCCGCGTCATGGTAAACTTTCGATTTTATCGCTACATTTTGTAGAATTCAGACACGTGCACCGAAATTAAAAAAAAACGTACGGGGAAATATTTTACATTTTGTACCATATCCGGTACTTGTTTTGTTCGACAACTGAGTGGGCCTCATTTTTTTTTATTTGTGGTCCGTACACTTATTTTTTTTTTTTGAAGAAGAAGAAGACGTTTGTTTTGCAAACAGGGCCGTGTTTCCGATCCCATTACGCTAATGTCTTCAGCAGCACAATGGCGCGCATACTTTGCAAGACACATAAAGGCTTTTGGAATGCCTACTACTACCGAATCAAAAGATGTGTACATAGGTAGGATCTTAATTTTGTTCTCTGATGATTGTTAGTGCTGTTGTGCACAATGGTTGGGACCAGACATCTATCTGAAACTAAGAGATGTGTATGCTTTGCCAACTAAATGCCGCCGTCATGATCAAAGCCCACTTCCGGGGAAAGAAATATCCTGCGGCCTTGGCGTACGCCTTTGCTCACGCACAAGGTCACCAGAGCTTTATCGTATGACCTGATGTCTATTGAGGTTTACGAACGTTCGTGCGATGTTGGCGCGTGCTCCGTAAGTCGACGTTAATGGGTCTTTTCATTTTTTTTTACCTGTTTGATGTTTTATCCGTTATCTGTATTATATACCCATCACCTAGTGCAATGTAGCCAACCGGGCCTGTTTTTTCGATGACCTGCCCACTTTTATCATTCGTCTTTCTCGCTCACTCCCTTGCATTATATATCACCGTCCAAGCGCACCGTACTGATGGTTAACCAGCGAAGCTAAAACTTGCGTTCCCGCTGTTTTTAACAGGGTTAGTCTTGACGGCTCATTGAAGTCTTTCCTAATTACGGGTCACGTCTTTCTAGAAACATTAGTTCGTGCTTGCCGCCCATGCGGCAATTTTTTGTTTTTAAAGAATATTAGTGATGAAGTCCACCTTGGTGGAATAGTGGTCACGGTGCTCAAAAATTGACCCGAAGTCACGGGTTCGACCCCGGCAGGGGTGGTCGCATTTCGATGCAGGCAAAGTGGTAGATGCCAGTGTGCTGTGCGACGTTAGTTCACGTTAAAAAAAACATCTGATAGTCAAAAGTTGCGGAGCCTATCATTGCGGCGTCCTTCGTGATCATGCCGTTGTTTTGTAATGCAAAACTCGAGAAATTATTACAATTGGTGATAGCTTGACTTGCCCGATTTCCGAAGGCCGAAATCCAAGGACTCGTTTATCTTACACAGATTACTATACAAAACTATGGCACCAAAGAAAGTATACCAGATGCTAATAACGGTAATTCCAGTATAAATGTAAACAAAGAAAGGGGGTGAAAAGATTACTTACCGCTGGCAGTAACCAAACGCCTTTTTCAGACGCGTTATTAGATGGTCGCAGGGCCAGTCTCTGCCAGCGGTAAATTATCTATTCTTCCATTTTTCTTTCTTCACATTTAAATTAACAATTAGTTCTAATAGCAACCCGCATACGGTCGCACAGGGGGGAGATAGCTTTTGCGTATACACATAGATGGATAAATTTCAGTTTCGCTTAGCCATGTACCCCTTCGATGTAATAAAATATTTTGCAATAGAACAGTTATTGTCCTATATAGGCCCAACGCGTGGCTTTAGCGCCAGTGATTGCATTTCAATAGCTCCGACGTATGAAGTCTCAGACTGAGGGGTTTTGCAGTTTATACCCTACATATACGGTGTAAACCCTATTGCATTCGATGCCAGTATTCGCGCAATCGCCTTCGAGACGCACAAGTGCTTACACTAACGAGCTTTACGCAATTAGGCACCGCTGACATCGAATCGCCACCGATGACTTCATCGCAGCCATCTTTTTGTGCGCTGATGCGCGAACATTGTGCTTAGAATTCGTAAAAGGGGGTTGCGTTGCTCCGACGTTTATACAAGATGACTTGTATTCTTCAAGGCTCGAACGGAACAATACATAACCGTTCTCTTCTAGCCTTGAGGAAGACAAGTCCGCTTGCCGGAAAGCTGGCTCGACACAACCCCTGTTTACGGATTTTCAATCGCAAGCGTCCATCTTCCCGTGTCTGTCACTTTTTGTGGAGATTCTGATTGTTTTCATGGGCTGCGAGAGTGCATATCGCAGGCCGCTTTACAAATTGCAGTTAAGAGCAATGGGAACAAGATAACATCGTTTCAAGCAACGGAGAACATTCTTTGAGCAACATGGTCTGAAATTCAGGACCATGTGTTAATTATATGCTTTGGAAATAACAACTGAATGCCTCTCTTATCCTAATCTCTAATCACCTTGTGTGGTGCGTTGCCTATCTTTGGTCTCGTCGGAAAACTATGAAAGGTTTGTTGTTTACATACTGTTGGAGGAGGGAGCGTATTGTCAGTGGGATGCGATAAATGTTGGTTCTGTGCAGAGTTTTTTATGGTCTTTTTTGCTAACCAGCTCTTCGAAAGTG